GTCTGTCCCTGGTCTTGTTTTCACTGATGATATGGAGCTTTTCCATCGTCTCTTTCTGCAGATGTAGTCTATTTGACTTCTATGTATGCACTTAGGACATTTAAATGAATATATATTTTTTTTGTTTTGTGTGTATACATCAAGTATTTTTGCTTTGTTCATTAGTGAAATATAAGATGTAAAAGGGAGGAAGTAGGATCACTGTTATTGCAGGGAGGGGAGTGTAATCATTGAGATGAAACAAAGCATATAATTGGTTGAATGCAAAGCTGATGATCTTGTCTGTTAACCTTCACACAATTCACCAAAAAAAGTCAAAAAAAAAAAAAAAAAGTTCAAAAGAAGAATAGTTATAACTCACAGAGAAAGAGCAGAGAGATTGTTTTGGATAAAACAACATTTGAGATAGGTTTTGAAGCTTGAGTAGAATATGACATTCAGGAATTCTAAGGGAAAGGCACAGTGGGCTGGGGTGGGCTAGGCTTGCTTCCAAGGCCAGGCTGGGAAGGTCGTGGGTTGAGTGCCAACTTGGGACATTTCAATTTATAGGTCTTGGAAAATGACCCACATTTTTGAAGCAGGAAGTGATGTGTAGGAGTGGGAGAGATTGTTGTTGTTGTTGTTAAGTGCCGTCGAGTCGGTTCCGACCCATAGCGACCCTGTACAGGGTTCCCGAGGGTGTAAATCTTTACGGGAGTAGAAAGCCTCATCTTTCTCCCGTGGAGCGGCTGGTAGTTTCGAACCGCTGACCTTAAGGTTCGCAGCCCGATTCGTAACCACTATGCTACCAGAGCTCCTTAGAGGCCAACTTAGGAAGCTATTGCCAAGGTCCATGTGAAAGTTAGAATAAAGGGCAGAACTGATGCAAGGACATGGGTTGTGTCATTCATACTATGTCACCGAAGCATAAAGAGAAGGTGACATATTCTGGTAATAGACACAGAAGCTATTAAACCTAGATTATTATTATTTTTTGGATTGTTTAGTTTTTTATTTTGTTTTTAGAAGGTAGTTCTCAAAGGTACTGGCAAGGAAGAGAGAGATGTTAAAGATGGCTAAGGTCTCAAGTCAGGATTACATGGAGAATGGAACTTCTGTGAATAGAAATGGCTAAGTCAGGAGGGAGAGTGGGTTTCACAGGGAAATTACCTAGCTGAGCTAGGGTAATTCTGAAGAGCTATGTCTAGTAAGTGGTTAGAAATTCAATATGAAGCTGAATATTTGAGACCTGTCTGCTCAGAAATATTTGGAACAAAAAAATATGGACCACCGTGTTCCAGAAGACACAGTATGATTTTACTCCAAGGATATCTGAATAATCCTTCAAACTTGCTCAGGGTCCTCCGGAATATCGCAATATGCCTCAACTGCGCTGAAAACTAGAATTTCACATTCTAATTCCAAATATATTTACTTGGTGCTAACCAGTGTACACACTGTCAACACTATTAGAATATAGAAGAAACCTCTTATCAATAATATAGTTTTATGTATCTGTTTTAAAACAAGTTGGACAAAATCCTAATACTTCAGAAATGGATGGAACATCTCCCCCACCTCCAAAAGGTTTAAATCAGAGCATTAAATGAATGCTATTCTGTAACGGTTTCAAGGCCTTTAGTTACTGTCTATAAATATAAGTCAGGTATATTTAGTAGAATTAGCAGAATCATAGACTTTAAGCTGGCCATTTCCTGATTGACTGTGTTTGCTGGCCATTCCTGGCTAGAAACTCATGGGGTTTGCTCTTTGTCCTCATGAGAAAAGGAAACACAGCTAAAAATCTTGTTTCCAGAAAGCCCCAAATTCATACACAAAGAGTTTTTAAGTAAATACAGCAGGGTTGTGTTGTTAAATGTCCTCTGTTGCATCCAACTCATAGCCCAGTAGAGGGGTTACACCACACCAGGATTGCAAATACAACAGTGTGGTGGTTCAGCGTCCATGAGTCGATTCCAAAGCATAGTATATTTCCGAGGCAGGAGCAGAAAGCCTCATCTTTCTCCCACAGACCAGCAGCCCAACTCGTAACCCACTATGCTACCAGGGTTCCTTAATAAAGCAGGGAGGAAGAAGCAAAGAGATACAACTGTGTGCTTCCAGCTTCCAACGAGGAGATTTCCCAAAGCATACTCACCATCCACAGCTCTGCATCTGGATCATTTACCTGAAATTCCAAAACATCAAGGTATTAATTAGCAAACCTACTATATACCATGTTCCTTTTCTACATTTGGTCTGCTCTTTTATTCAGCCAACATAACGCTGAGCTGAGTGCCAGACGCTGCAATAGACTCCAGAGGGAAAGTCTGAATAGGGCATAGTCTAGCAGATCACTGTGGTGGAAGGAGCTTCTGGCTGCCACACGACAGATGGTTTAACACACAGCTTCACATTTTAGACAAGAACTGCACTGAAACTCTGAAGAGGATGTGCCAAATCTAGAAAGGGTATTTTACAGGTCAGCCAGTGTCAAGGAAAGAGGAAAACACTTCTGAAGAGGGTCCTCATGCAGACTGGAGAGGATAATATTCCCTAAAAGGGGTTTTGTTCTGCTTCCTCCTCTCCTAGGCATTGCATTTTATGGAGTTGGATCCACAGGGTGACTATTTAAGAAAGGCTGCTTCTGCTCAGAGTCTTTTCAAGGTTTTGTTGATTTTGTGTGTGTACCCTGCTGATTTATTTCGTCTCCCACCACCCGCCCCGGGCCGCTGTTCATGAGGGCGCCGCCGCGACCCGCCTGACCTGCACGAAGGCCGCAAGCGCGAAGAAGGCAGTCATGAGCAAATTGCACAGCCTCCACAGGGAGGGAACCCAAGACCCTGCAGCAGGCGCCATAGCGTCGCCCGGAGAGCGGCGGGCCCGGAGGCGTGGCGTGGGGCGGGGCATGGGGGCGGGCGGGCCCGGGGCGGGGCAATGAGGGGCGGGGTTTGGCTTTTCCTGAGGTCTGACCTCAGCTCTAGACGCTTCCGAGGGCCCGCTGACCGACGTGCACAGGGCCAGGGAGGAGCCTCGCTTTAGCGCTTACTCGGTTCTCTCCCAGACATAGCAAAGGTGTCAGGAAGGTGCACCCCAGAAGGGCGGGTAGCTTGCCTGGAGTTGCACGGCCATCACTGGCACAAGGAAATCTCATTCATTCTAACCCATATAGGATCAACTCCAATGCCTGTTTTCACCAAGGCTATCTTCTTCGTTTAAGGAGCTCTGGTAGCGTAGTGGTTACGAATCGGGCTGCTAACCTCAAGGTCGGCAGTTCGAAACTACCAGTGGTTCCGCGGGAGAAAGATGAGGCTTTCTGCTCCCGTAAAGATTTACAGCCTCGGAAACCCTGTGCAGGGTCACTATGAGTCGGAAACGACTCCACGGTACTTAACAACAACATCTTCAACAACATCTTCTTCGTTTATGTTGTTATTAAGTGCCGTCGAATCAGTTCCAACTCATTGCGACCTTACATAGAGTTTCCCAGAAGTGGCTGGTGGGTTTGAACCGCCGACCTTGAGGTTAGCAGCCCAGTGCTTATCCTACAGCGCCACACCAAGACTCCTCTTCATATATATGTCTCTATATTTTTAAGTATGCGCGTGTGTGATGTTTTCTGGTTAGTGTTTATGCATTTCTTCCCAAGGCTCAGGAACTTTGAAAGCCCTGTAAGCATTATGGTAATTTCCAAAGTGAGGACAGTAATAGGAACATCTTACACAGCTCACAGCTTTTCCACAGACAGGCTCATTTATCTTCATAGGTTTTTATTATAAAAGGTATTTACATATTATACATATTTACAATTCTTTCCCACCACCAAAAACCAACAAAAATTCCACAAGCACTGCTCATGAATTTCTTATGAACGAAAGACACTGAAATACTCACTCTCCTCCCCTCGCTGTTTCCCCAGCCTCTTTCTATTCGGTAATTTACCCTCTGATGAGTTCCTCCCCGGGCTCATTTACACATCTATAGACCTCATCATTTTTGCTGCTCTACAGAATCTTTATCACTTCAAATCATGAGCTTGTGTGCCTGTCGCCTTTCCTTTCAGATAAATCTAACGCGCTTTATGAAGTCCTCTCCCCTACTCCTTTCAGGAAACGCTCATTAAACATCAGCTGGTGCCAGGCCCAGGGCTGGGATTTGCTATGTGCTCCCCAGGAAAGGAGCTGATATTTAAGCAGTGACCACACAGTCGGTAAAGGTTGGCAAGTGTGACAGGGCAGAAAAGGAATGACAGGTGTGAGGTCAGGGAAGGCTCTTGACTGAATTCCATCACTAAGTCATGTCACACCAACCTACCCTGATCTGAAAGAAGAGGGGGTGGGGGGCGGGGTATGATGATGACGTTTGCTTTACCTTCCATGTAGAAGAGTGGGCCTAAAGTAAGCATAGTGTGGCATTACATGTAACCTAGTAAAGGCCATGCAGCCACTGTGTGTTTATCATTCTTACTGTTGTCTGGGATCCTAAGGCTTACTGTAATGGACACCTGTTGGTTTTGTCTGCACAAGATATATTCCCTCTTCTTTCTACGGTTGTTGTTGTTAGGTGCCATTGAGTCAGTACCGACTCATAGCGACCTTATGCACAGCAGAACGAAACACTGCCTGATCCTGGGCCAACCTCACTATGTCCCATTATCAGAGTGTGTGGACTAGCCTTGATCGGCCTGTTTCAGGGATGTCCCATTCTTCTGACCACAGTGATGAGGTCTGGGTGGACATCTGATCCAAACTGACCAGTGACTTACGGTAGACTTTGGGTTGCCAGTTAGAGCAAAGCCAGTTATATTTGAATTTCAGATCAACAAGCAATGTCTTCGTTGAAGTGTGTCCCAGATAGTTGCCCAATGTAGTAACTCTAACAGGAGTATTTCAAGGGAAGCTTTCTTTTTGCTGAGTGTGTTAGTCTGGTAAGTCCGGAGTTGTCGGGACCACTACCTGGAGATGGTCCACTTTAGGATAAAGTCAGTATCGAGGAAAACAGAGTTGAGCAGTAGAAAAAGACAGGAAGCTGATGACATCACTTGAGACTTTGGGGTCAGTCATGTCTGAATCTGGACTGCCTTAGGACCCTTCAGTTGGTGAGCCAACCAACATATTCCTTTCGCTACAGAAGTGTTGTTGTTAGATGTCATATTCATCTCAGTGATCCCAGGCAGACGGGAAGAATTGCAGACTGAACCATTGTGGTCCGTAGAGTCGTCATTGACTAAAATTTGAAAGTACGTTGCCAGGCCTTTCTTCTTATTCATTCTAACCTGTAAGCTCCGCTGCAACTTGTTCAATACCGCAGCCACACACAAGCTTTCAATGACAGACAAGTGTTGGCTGCATATGAGGGGCATTGGCCCAGAACCAAACCCTGTCTCTCCCATTGTTGTTGTTGTGAAGTGCTGTCCAGTCGGTTCCGACCCATAGCGACCCTGTATAGGGTTTCCAAGGAGCAGCTGGTGAGCTTGAGCTGCTGACCTTGCAGTTCAAACGGCTTTGCAGTCTGACGCATTAGCCCAAAGGGCCACACCAGGACTCACATGGAAAGTGAGAATTCTGCCCCTGGAGCTGACATAGGGTTGATAGGCCTGTTGTTGTGTGCCGTGAAATTGGATCCAATCCATAGCGACCCTATAAAGGGTGTCTGAGGAGCGGCTGGTGGTTTTAAACTGCTGACCTTTCGGTTCAAACCGACCTTGCAGTCCAGCGCATTAACCCACAGCGTCACACCAGGACTCTAACAACTATATATGTACACATTTTACGTATTTAAAATAAATACATGTATTTTAAAAATTCAGTGCCATTGAGTGGATTCTGACTCATAGTGACCCCAGGATGTCATAGCCAAATTGTACTCCATAGATTTTCAGTGCAAGGGTTTCTGGGAGCAGATCACCAGGACTTCCTTCGGAGACATCTCTGGCTGGCTGTGTGCCGTGGAGTCGGTTCCGACCCATAGCGACCCTGTACAGGGTTTCCAAGGCTGTAAATCTTTACAGGAGCAGAAAGCTTCATCTTTCTCCTGCGGAACAGCAGGTAGTTTCGAACTGCTGACCTTAAGGTTCGCAGCCAGATTTGTAACCACTATGCTACTTGGAGCTCTGGTAGCCTAGTGGTTGAGCCATCTCTAGGTTCACTGAAACTCCTACCCTTAGGTTGCATCATCCAGGAACTCCCTGGGCTATACAGGTGTTGACAAAAATATCTGAAATCAGACTCACATCTCATTACCACAAGGATTGATTTCTTTCTGAAAAACCCATCTAGTCTCAAAGAGATGGAGATAAGATTCTTATGATTCAGTAGTGAGTACTTGTTACCATGATTAATTGTGACTGTCAAAACTGTGAAGTTAGGAGTTTTGTAACAAAAACAGGGGAGTAGTTAATCTTACAGTCCAGGAACAGAGGACCCTAGGACCATTAAGGAAGAAGAGTATGAGCAGAATGTGGGACCGTATCCAGAGAAGCAGTGACACCAGAGATGGAGGCAGAGATGACTCGAGATTCATGGAAAGAGAGGGACTGAGAGCTGGCAGCCAGGAGGCAGGCTTACAGAATGTGCCCTTTGGTTGTTTAAATGATTATGTATTCCTGAATGTTTTTGTGTACATCCCCCCTCAACCCTCCCTCAAAACAAACAAACAAAAAAATAGATGGAATGGAAGCAAATACTGTTGAATGATGATGCATGGAGGAGATTGTAATCATTGCAATGAAACAATGAGTGTAAAACCAATGTTCTCCCACATAAACTGTCACTCAGTTCACAATAAAACCTTTAAAACAAACAAACAGAAAAAAAACCATATATTCTCTATGAAAGACTCAGATTTCTTCTATTAGCAAAACATAGACCATCTTATAAAAGCCTGAAAGCGTACGTTGACTGACAGTGAAATATTCTGGCTTAGATACTTTCCTCGAAGCCCTCGTTGTCCCTCCGCACCACTACACAGAACTTCTGGTTCACTTCACTTTTCACATATTTACATTCATCAGCCATGTCCTTAGACGCCACTCATGGAATCACCGGTTTCATTTACTCAGTGCATATTTATTCAGGACTTGCTATGGGCCAGGCACTACGCATATAATGGGGGATCTGCCATGGGCAGCAGCCCTGGTAGAGCCTACAGTCTTTACACAAATAGTCAGGTGATGATTCCAGCAGGTGACTGATTCATGCCGTGAAGAAGATGTGAGGACTACTTTGGATGTGGGTGACACACAGGGAAGCTGACCTCCTCCATGGGTTCTTGAAATTTCTCTGAGGAAGTCACCTTTCACGTGAGCCTGTAAAGAGAAGACTGGCAGGTGAAGGATGAGGAAGACTCGTGCTGAAGGCAGAGAGAAGAGCATGGAGAAGGTCCCGGATACAGAAGGCCACCAGGCCCAGGGGCAGAGAGTAAGGGGAGTGAGTGGACAAGGGTGGACATTAAGGAACTGGATTGTATCCGGAGGGCAGTGAGGAGCCCTGGAAACACATAGAGCAAGGGTGGAGCAGGTTAGCTGCTTCGTGGGCTGCAGTGTGGAGAATGGACTCTGAAAGACAAGAGGACCAGCAGGAAGTTGGCTCGAAATGCTTTCAGTAGACCAGGGAAGAGATACCGTTGGCTGGGACAAGGAAATTAGTAGAGGTGATAAAGAGAATTCAGTGAATGAAAGGCCTTATTTAGGAAATAAAATCAAGAGGGTTGTCAGAGGGGAATGAAAATGAATTCATTCTCTATGTGTTGACAGAAGTTTTTGAGTCCGAATGGATGAGGACCAGATGTTAGACAGAAGGTAACACATGGGGGAAATGCCTTTGCCAACATTGTAGGTCTCCCCCAATATAGCCTTTGCT